GGACTTCGAATCATCAAAATCTGAAGAAATCAATCAACGACTATTCCAAAACCCTATATTGATCTATACTTTGTATGCCCATTTATTTCGAAACGCCAGGCACAAGGCTATTCATTTCCTTCAACTTTGCGATCGTGATATCGGTAGAATTAAAACAATTATATCATCATGATAACTGATAATTAATTTCAAAAGAATTCCTTACCATAGTCGCGACCCCTGTACTCTTTTTACCCATCACCTTATGGACTTTTTCCCAATACATTTTTAAAAACAAAAAGTCCCTTTAAACGTGAGGTTTTGGGAATCAAGAAACGCATAATGTTAGTGAGGAGACATGATATAGGTAATCCAATCTTCAAATAACGATCTCTTTGAATGCGGTGAGAGAATAATGCCACTCAATTGATAGATCTTATCAACAGAGGCGCCATTATGTTCACGAGAGTTACCGCTGTTTTATAAATTATGTAAAAAATATTTAAAAAATAAAGTGCATATGTGAAGAGTTTAATTCCAGAAGGAACTAAATCTATTTTTTCAACTTCGGGAAACAAAAAATTGTTTACCAGATTTTGTACAGGCGTCTATGCAAAAGTAATATTAGAAGATGCATTTTTTCATAACTGCTCCCAAAATTTAGGTAAATAATTTCGTCGAAAGACGGGTACTTAAGTGAACAATGATATCAATAACTCCATTTTCATCACAGGTGGATTTAGCTCCTTTTTTTTTATTAAGCTCGTCATACACACAGAAAGGAAAAAGTGAATTTTAAATTAGTTAGCATTCTGAGTAAGAGACAGGTTTTTATGGAAATGTTTTAAAAAAAACACCGTCCGTTAAAACGTAAACTACAGACAACAATGGAGCCATAACATTTCTCTTTCTCTCTCTCTCTCTCTCTCTCTCTCTCTCTCTCTGTTTCTGTATGTATGTCTGTCTCTCTGTATCTGTACTATCTCTCTCTCTCTCTCTCTCTCTCTCTCTCTCTCTCTCTCATACATTGTTTCTCTCATCTAATGTCATTTTAATAGATAGATCTTAACACAAGAGGGGCCATTAATTTAATAAGAGTTATCGCCTGTTTTATAAGGTATGTAAAAGAAAAAAATAATAATAATGCGCATAGATATATATACAGACGGAAAGGAAAAGTGAAATTGAGATTAGGCGGCACTCAGAGTAAGAGACATATTTTGTAAGGTAATTTTAAAACACAGACAACAATGGGGCCATAAAGTTTCTCTTTCTCATTATTCCACTATGCCTCTCTTTCTTTCTCTCTCTCTCTCTCTCTCTCTCTCTCTCTCTCTCTCTTACATTTTGAGCAAACAATCTTAAATTAAGATTGTTTGCTCAAAATGTAAGAAAATGTGAGAGGACTTGAAGGAAAGATAAAGTTCATCTTTATATATACAACATTCACCTTCATGTACACCATCACCAACAACCAGCATGAGCAGTCAAGGACGACCTTGCTATCATCATGTTCATGGGCATCGGCAATATGATTGGTATCACCCATGGACAAATTCGGCGCCTTACCAATTGTAAATGTACCTTCACATTGCGTGGTTAAGTACTGTCCACGGTTTCGATGTCATGTAAACATCAAATCAACATCAACAGTTTAAGTATTAAGAATACGTTTTCTGATATCTACTCTAACGGCAATGGAGATTACCAAAATTATAATTCAAAGTACAAGTAGGAGTGTCGTGGTCGAGTGGTTTAAGAGATGCTAAGGTCGAGGTTCGAATCCCGACACGGCACTAAATCCTTTTGCAAGATATTAACCTGCACTTGCTACTCTCCACCTAGGTGTTAAATGGGTACCCGGTAGGATGCGACCGTCATTGTTGGTCAAACAGTTTTGAGCGTCAAGTAACGCCTGGCTGGGATGCTCCCCAGGGAGTGGAGATTGTGCACACAGTCTGTGTGGGCAGGTATTAAATCCAATGACCGAGGTATTATATCTGTAAAGCGCTATTTAACGCTATATAAAAGCGGAGTTAATATTATTATTGAAAGTTCCATTAGAAATGTCAGTATCTTTATTACTTTATCAACTGAAAGTTTGGGGAATTACAAAAATGTTTTGTCTGTAAACCCGGGCTTGTAGACATGCGTGTTAGAGTGACGTGAATATGTTCGAACATGAAGCACGTATACGATTGATATCCTCCACAAAGCCCATTAAACCTCGTGTAATGGATGGCTCGCATAAGTACCTGAAGGATCAATCTCTAAATTCTGTCAATAAAATTAAACGGAGGTCGTTTCTAGCATCATTTTTTAATGGCACGTTATAGATAATGTTTTTGTGTTAAACTTCGAACAGATGCCGAATGTTGATCCTTTAATTTCTCTTCATCCCGAAAATGAAATCACAACGAAATTTGGTTTCGTGTTTGGAAGGGTATCTGAGGGACTTATATATGGGGATTAACACCTGTTTAATAAGAAAGGGCTCTAGTGCTTAAACTTGGTTTCGAACCCTGCACCTTCCAGTTACAAAATAACTGGGCCATGACTGTTGTTCATTTACATGTATTGTAGACTGGATAAGATAGTAACTAGTTGAATGCAGTTTATATTCCTATTTCGAGACATGCACCATTGAGAAAAAAGAACCACTATCAGTTTCCCTTAGGTCGACAGTACGTTTAACCAAATAGAAACCAATACAAACCAATTTAACGACATAATAAGTACATAAGCCATCAACACTAATGCATGCAATGGATGTAACCTCCAAAAGCACATCATCGTACCAATCAATCAATCACTCCATTAGTTCTTTCATTGATGGCAAGGCCGCTCCTGATTGCGTAAATCGTGTTCTCTTTTGTCAGTGGCACAGTTGCAGGGGCAATGGGGACAAGTGCCTCCCCTCCCCCCCCCCCCCCCCCCACCCCCGTTCGAGTGGTGGAAAACAGCGAGAAAAGACTCAAAGGGAAAGAAGAAGGGCAACCCTCCCCCTCCATCAGTGGCCTTATAAACTAAGAAAATGTGCATTTCAATATCAGACTGCTACGCCCTCCCCCCCCCCCCCGAATAAAAATAGAGAGCCCTCCCCCTCCCCCTCAATCGTTTAAGTTCACCCTCAAAGGTTGGAATCATGCTACGCCTCAGCCCCTCGATCGAAAACGATTATCACTTGATCACGTACATACATGGTCCTGTTTCATGAAAGTAGTCATCAATAGCTAGTAATTTTAGGGATTATAGGCTAAGGAAATAATGGCTTTCGATAAACGCTACTTGAATAATGGACGCTGTTATAATAACTGATATACGCTACAACTATAAGCTACAAGTTACTGACAGAATGGCATTTGATATATGCTACGGAAATAATTTTAATTGTTATCAATGGTAAGTTACATAACTGTTATCGCTACTGAAATAATATCATTTGATTGGCTGTGAGAACATTTGTCATTGAAATAGACTTTAGTTGTAGCTGATATAACTGATAAAGTAGTAAAAGTAAAAGGGTGTTTATGAAGTATACTTGTGAGTGGAGTACTAATTGACTATCATTTAGTGTATCAAATTAGCAGATTTGTTTAATTCTGTATCTCTTTGACAATTTGTATAGTGGTCTTTAAGATTCAAAAGGAAAACTATTACTTTCCTATTCTTTGCGGAATTCTGCTCTGACTTTGACGACAAAATTATTTGTTTTCCTCTATTTTGTACAGTAATTTGAAACAGATTAATATGGTTTGAGTTTTCTATAAGGCCCTAGAGGGTGGGTTTATTCTGTTTCAATGACATATTAATGTCAACAAGATCCTGAATGAGGAATGATTTTTAGGGCGCGTATTAGCTGCTTTAATATACTAATCATTTTATGTTCTGCACAAATTGTTAATGGGTTATGGGTGTGATATGTTAACCGGTACACTGAAAAGAGGGATAAGGTGGGGAGATGCTTATCAAAGAAATCCGGATATTACTGGATAATGGTAGATTGCCCGATATAGTACTACAATTTTTTAAACAGAAACATGAATCGATAATGATCAAGCAATGCACTCTGTATGCGAGATCCTTATCCTTTTCTTGATTTGTACTGATCTTCCACAGTACGAAGTTCGTAAATGATTTAAGCGTATCGACTAATTTGACTTAGTAAGGGAAACGCATTTCAGATAATTAAAGCCCTTGGCCTTTGTCGATTGTTGTTTTGTTGTCTGAAGTCATGTTTTGTTGTGTTTAGCAGAGAGACCATGTTTGGTGGCGAAAGGTGTGGCGTGGCAAGGGGGACACCGACTTTTCCATGTGGCTGAAAAACAAATGACAAGGTGTGGTAGGGATTCCTGTCGTCTTCTTTCCACGTTCCACCCTTCCTCTCCTCCCATTCCTCCATCTCCACATCCCTATCTTTTTCTTTTTCTCTCTCTCTCTCTCTTTCTTTATCCCCCTCTCTTTCTCTCTCTTTCTCTCTCTCTCTCTTTTTCTCTCATTGTTTCCCCCTTTTCATTTTTTTCGCTTCTGTGCTCTTGTTTTTTTTCTACTTTTCAAACATACCATGGGGGCACTTGCCCCTCCCTCCCCCCCCCCACCTCAATATCTACGCCACTAAGAACTTTTCCAAGCGTTCACTGATGTATTATGATGCTAAGACGATGTAATGATGGAGTGTTTTTCTTTGATTCAACGACATATTTAGGGTAAGCATCATCACGTTCGCGAAGTATTAGATAGTTGAAGTGGTATCTTGTCTTTTTCGAGGGCGAACAGATCAGTTTTAATCGTAGCCATATTTCATCATAAGGATTTCTGAAGTGATGTCTTATCTGGGCCGCTGATAGCATGAATGGAATGGAGATTTTAACGATGAAGACGTACCCAAATTAGTATTAAAGAGAATATGAGTATTACAAATGGAATTACAACTGGATTGTATTTATAAACTGAATTCTGTAAATGCAGTGAAAACTGTTCAAGAAAAAAGAAAATAACTCAGATATTGGAATAAGTTGTCGTGATTATTATCCATTATCATTTGTTTTTATTAATTATTCTCGTTATCAAGCACATGTTTTTACGTTGAAAATAGTACTAATAAATTAATAAGATCAATATTAATTGGAGTGGTGTTATTTCCGCTATATTCTTAAATGAATTATTTTGGGCGTATTTTAATTTAATCTATTTTTGAAATATTCTAGCTTTAATGCCTGAAGATGACCTTCTGGAGGAACTCCCTGTACCCCGCTGGCAGCCTCCTCTGGAAGAGATTCTGTGGCACCAGGGCGTTGGCTGGAGGGCTGGAGCGTCTCGGGCGTGGTCGATTTGGAGGCCCTCCTCCGCCACCACCACCACCACCATCTACATTGCCATCCTCATCAGCATCAGCAGCCTTGTAGCAAAAGCTACCACCGGTATTGAGTCCTTGAGGGGTACCTCTGAAGCACCCCAGGATGTAGGGGAAATCGGAGGTGGTGTGGTATTGGTAGACGCCATTGGCGGTGTAGCGTCCGTGGCACTCGTCGAGGTCAGCTGAGGTCAATGTGTTTCCACTCTCGTCGACGGGGCCGTAGATTGCGAAGCCATCGAAAGCGACACCGACCATTGGGGAGGGCACGCCGGGGTTGACGTCGAAGAGGCAGCTGGACGGTTCCATGTGGTAGTGGTACCTTTGGTTGAGATAATAATGTATTATTTTTTTTTTTTAACTTTTACATTTTTTGAAAACACAGGTTCAACTTTGCTGTGATTCATACGAATAAAACATGTAATCAGAATTTTGAAATTGATATATAAAAGATGCAAAAGTCATGCAGATATAAGGGAAGGACGATTTACATTTGCAATTTTAAAAGTAATCAGTGGGGTGGCAAAATAGCGACGAAGATAGGGTCCACTTGTCAAAAATAGTTGTCGTCCGGAAAGGAAAGAACAAGTTCTACAAGGGGAAGAGGGCAGAGCGCCCTCAAACACATTGTTAAAATGTTGGAAAATCAAGAGCTATAAATGACAAGGTGGAGCCAACCTTTAAGGTAGAAAAGCGAGAAGGATTGTGCAGAAATACGGACATTTGAACTGAAGTAACAGATATGGTTTGCAAGAGGTCTCTACTGAGGCTAAGAATAGGCAAATTATTGATCCAAGTTTATTAACAGACTCCCTCTCTCTCTCTCTCTCTCTGTCCCTCTCTCTCTCTCTCTCTTTCCCTCTTTCTCTGGTTGTTCTTCTTTTAGTTCTCGTGCTCCCTTCACTTTCCTCTTTCCTTCTTATCACTCTCTTTCCTTCTTACTCTGTCCAGATTCTTCGTTCTTCCTTACCTTCCCTGCTGGTCTGGATGTCCGTCGCACATGTCGAAGACCTCGGCGCCCTCTCCCTCGACCGCGTTCTCGCCGTCAGCATCCCATGGGTTGTACATGACGATGCCGTTGACCGCGACGGCGATGGGACCGCCGGGGAGACAGGTGGTCGTGGAGGCTACCTGGGGTTCCTTAGGGACCGTACGGCTAATGGTCTGCTCAGCGATGGAGTTGGGGTTGGACTGGGCGGGGAAGGTACCTTTGGCAGCGTCAAGATGATAATTACAAAATGGTTATAATTTGTTATCATAATTTTTTTAACGGATGGGTCTCCCTATTCAGAGCCATTAATTCAATGGCTCTATTCTTCTAGAGGTCATTGTTGTTAATGTTTTGTCTGTCTGTTTTTTTTTCTCTCAAAATAAACTACTGATGCCCCCTGTCTCATGGTCTGGATGTAGCTACTCTGGATGGATGTTCATTGTTTTTTTTTGTCTGTTTGTTTGTTTGTTTGTTTATTTGTTGTTTTTCTCGAAACTAGAAATGCCCACCTGTCTCATGGTCTGAGATGTTTATACTCTGGATGAATTTGAATTGTTTTTTGTTCGTTTGTCTGTTTGTTTTTTTGTTTGTTTGTTTGTTTTTTGTTTGTTTTTTGTTTTCCTCTCAAAACTAGAAATGCCTACCTGTCTCGTGGTCTGGGATGTTGTTACTCTGGATGGATGTTGATTGTTGTTTGTTTTCTGTTTGTGTGTATGTTTTTATGTCTGTCTGTTTGTTTGTTTTTGTATTTGTTTGTTTTGTTTGTTCTTTTTTCTAAACTAGAAATGCCTACCTGTCTCGTGGTCTGGGATGTTGTTACTCTGGATGGCCCAGTTGGACCCACTGGAGGTGATAGTGACCCACCCAGTGATACCGGTGTTTCCCTCAGGTGCTCCGGTGGTGCCGAAGTAGGCCGTCTCCTCAACGGTGATGCCGTGAGCGAGGGCCACGCAGATGGCTGCAACCAATATCCGCAACATGGTTGGTATAGTACAGTGAACTTTTTTAAAGAGAAGTTTCAGTTCTGGTTGAAAAAGAAAAAGTTAAAGGATAATGCGTGAGCTTTCTCATTCTCCCCTCCTTATTATTCCCATATTCCCAAAAATATCCTCAATAAAACAAAAAACGATCGCAAAGACACTTGAAAGATCAACCTAAGAAACCTATTAAAGGCAATTTCAATAACCATGGTGCGTCGCCCTCTGAAATGTGCGAACAGGAGAGTGGATTATGTAATCTGAACATGAACTCTAAAGACAACGTCATAAGGTATTGAGATTTCCCGCTTCATAAAAATTAATTCTCAAAAGTCATTGCGACCGTGTTATGATCCAAATATCACCAGAAAGAGTCTAAGTCTTTGTACCAAGTTATCATGCCAAATGAGAGTAGTACTACCCACACAGTACCCCTTTTTTTAAAAAAAACCTACTTCATGATTAGCCCTTCCAAATCTTCTGTACAATTTCTTTCACCATGCAATTGCGGGACTGGGCTCTTTTGCAAAGCGAATGGTAAATGATGATTGAGCATTAGATTAGGAATTAATATTAAAAAATACAGCAATACCCAAATGTAAATATAATAAATATAAATAAAAGTCAATAAAAATAACAATATTTATGATAATACATGTAATAGGAATGATACAAATAATAATGATAGTAATAGTAATAATGATAATAATAATAATGATATTTAAATCATATTGGAAGTGTTTACTGCGCACATATCCACCACACAATATTACCGCTGCTCTGCGAGGCTACTGATTTTGGTGTTCACAGCATTCCAGGAATTGCTTTCTCCCGGAAGAAGGGGAATGGCAAACATAAATCAATACCAGGGCCGCAGCAGGACTCGATCCGCGGACCATACGATCTGCAGTCCGAAGACGTTTCCACTAGACCACGACACATCAACATTGGTTGTAGCATTAGCTGTCCGACGATGAAATACGACTTTCACATATGGACGGGATAATCCAACTTTTGTAATATATATGAAATCATGCAACAAAACAACATGAATGTGTAAGAACTAGTTATCATGGTTAGAAATATAAATAAATAGATAAAAACAAATGTAAAAAATAACATACCTCTCAATTGCAGCCGCAACAGAAAATGTGAGATATCCTTTTCCTTGTCCAACAGTTTTATATCCCTTAAACGTCATAAAACCTTTTCAAATTCAAAGGTCATTTTCATTGTTTTTTTCTAAGCCTTAATCATTTTGTTTTGGAAGTCTACTTTTTTTTAATCTGGGCTTGGACTCCTGAGAATTTGCCATTTGGCATCGAGGGACTGTTACGTCAGAGATTTGACGTAACGATAATTTGGCGAAATGTTTCTAGTATTTTCATTTTAGTTTGTAATTGGTATGTTCTTTTTATACTTGACATTAAAAGCGTAATTGTTAGCCTGCTAATCAACATGGCAAGGGTTATTTCAGTAGATACGTCCTTGCAAAATGTTTTTTCATCGCCCGACATAGCAAGATTGTGCAAAAATATATATTGTTCTATGACATTGATTTCTCGTGAAATGTCTCCGCTACATTGAACATTATTTAAAAGGGAATTAAAGAAAAACGAAGGAAAGTGTCGGGACATTGGGAATCTCACGGTTTTCAAACATTTTCGACCTCCCCCGCCCCTCCACACACATACACACGCACCACGCCCTTATAAATAACAAACATATGCGCACGCACGTGGGCAAATGTTTTCTAACAATCTTATGATCCGCTCCCGGTTACTACAGTACCTGGTGCGTGGGATTGGCACAACGACAACAACAAAAGAAACCTACATGAACTTGAAACAAGGAGGGTCAAAAACATAACACAAAGAACACGCCAAAAAATACAAGGGTACAAAGGAAAACAATATTGACATAGCAAGATCGCCCTTTTATAAATTTGATGTGGGGCTATGTTTGTACAGCCTCATATCTATATGTGTTAGTGCATGGTACCGTTTCATCTTCTTATCTGAATGAACTAGTTAAAACTTATCTTTTCAGTGGTGATTATATAATTCTTAATCATTAGATTGATTGATTATATTTCAGTCATTTTAAGCTGGACATTTTCTCACACTAAGTCCGATAAGGCTGACCTATCACCATGTTGTACTGCAAGGCAATACGTGGCGTATCTAATAGGTCGATTTAGAGTTGGGTAGCAATGTAATCGACTGTCAATTTGTTTTAATTCATTCACCTCTTTCTCTATATATCTCTCTCTCTCTCTCTCTCTTTCTATTTCTCTCTTTCTCTCTCTTTCTCTCTCTCTCTCTCTCTCTCCCTCCCCTCCCCTCCCTCTCTAGCTCTTTCCCTTATTCTTTCTCCCCCTCTCTTTCTCTCTTTCTCTCTTTCTCTCTCGTGACACTACACAGCATCTGCCCGATACTCTCCGAATTCAGAACGAGAAGGTGGTGTTCAATATTTAGGCACGGGTCGATAGGTCCCTCCATGATAAAGAAAAAGACAAGTTCATTTTGTTGGGTTTATTATGAAAAACAAACAAACAGAAAAGCAGGAAACTGACAGGAAAATTGAGGGAAACAGTAGCAGAGGAAGAAGCGTATTAAATGGATGGATAAGTTCATTGGGCTGACTGGTAACAGAAGTAACGTCACACAACAAAGAACCTGAGATAGAAGTATGCTGGAAAGTATTGATCACCATAGTCTGGAACAGACAAGGCATATAGCAAGCAAGCAAGCAATGCACTGAACCCGGTTTCAGAACAAAATGATTGCGAATAATCATTTCTATATTTATATGACATCTCCGCCCATAGTCAATAAAGTAAGATGGTTTCAGTAGTTAAAACCAGTATTGTAACCTGTTAGTCTGTCACAAGTTTGATGAAACATAACCCATCATATTAAGGAAACGGAAAGCGAACGTCGAACTATATGAACTATAATTATATGTACAAGGGACCTACAAATCATAAGCAAAGTGCGTTGACACAACTTATGAATATTCTGCACTGCTTTACAAACTCAACGTACGATCAATCACAAAGCGATATATAAAGTTGATGGTAATAGTACAGCGGATTAGCTCCCCATATAACGAGAATTGTGCACTTTTTGATAAAAGCATGAAACTTCTAGCATAGTTAGTTTAGACCATAAGATTCATTTTCAGATGTGGAGGGAAGTCAGATTTGACCTCTGATGACCCTGAGAGGTCAAATTCAAAATGGCCGCCAGTCCGCATGGTCTAATGTACAAACACGCTTAACTTTTGAACCAAATAGTCCAGAAAAACATTTAAGGTGTCGTTTCCAACTAAATTGAGGATGCCAATGCATTTGGTAATACTTTTGAGATCGCCAGATTTCGGGCTTGGGCATTTAGGTCAAGGTTAAGGTCAAAATTGACTAAAAATAGCAAGTTTTCAATGTTTACAACGAAACAAATCCCATTTATTTGTCATTTGTTCGCTCCTATGTTCTCAAATTTCTTTAAGAGTGGTTCCCCTGCAGACCATGAGATTCATTTTCAGATGTAGAGCGAAATCAGATTTGACCTCTGATGACCCTGAGAGGTCAAATCAAAAATGGCTGCCAGTCCGCCGCATAGTCTAATAATTGTCCAAACACGCTTAACTCTTGAACTAAATAGTCCAGAAAAACGTTTAAGGTGTCATTTCCAACTAAGTTGCGGATGCCAATTCATTTGGTAATACTTTTGGGTACGCCAGAACTCTGGGCTTTGCATGAAGTCAAGGTCAAGGTCAAAATTGACTAAAAAAAATAGCAAGTTTTGAATGTTTACAAAAAGTTTTCCCATTTATTTGTCCCCCTATGTTCTCACATTTCTTTAGGAGTGGTTCCCCTGCATAGTCTCCATCGTAATCCCTGTCAGTTAGTTTATTTCACTAATTATAGCACCAAACCAGTAGTTGTCTTGTAACTGACCATATGCATATAGCATGGTTAGTGGGCAGCTAGGCAGTATACGGTACAAACCTCAATTCAAGTCAGGGAAACTGCTCCTTTCCGTTACTGCTCAATAATACTGGTAAGATGTTCTTTAAGTTACTTTGTGTTTTATTAGGTTTAAGTAATTTAAATAATCGCTACAGAGTTTGAGGAACATGCCATAAAGCAAACTAACGTTTCTGCTAACACTATACAAACATCACCTTGACCAGCAACCTGGAGTGCAGGCAGCATTCTTGAGGGATGTGAACTTCTGACAGTACTGAAAGAGATGGGGAATCCATTTCTAGAACAAAGTCAAGACATACTAGTCATTGGCACAAGCGACATATCATGGACATCCAATTGGCTGAAACGGGGAGAAGGATTGAGACCCTAGGTGAGCAGTACACAAAGTTTGTGACAGAAAGGCTAGAGCAGTGTACGACACCTAGCTGTCACACAAACACTTCATACGAACAAGTTGCCATTTTTCAGTCGGCAGCCGGCGAAGGTTATATATATGTTAAAACAGAAGGCACAGCTTGCAGCACTTAAGAGTGACTGTGGTCTCTTTTTGAGGATTTACATCTCGTGTCAGACAAGGGATGGAGATATGGACAATTTCTTCTCTCATGAAAACCAGGCAGTCCCGCCAGCTTTGTTAACTGGAGGTAAATGCGGTTTGGAGTTAAAGCAGATCTACTTCGCTGCCTGGAATCAAATCTGCTCGAAAACAATAGTGCACCTGTGGCCCAAGCAATAATTATTGATGGTGAGGCTGTGGTTCAAATGCTCAACCCTGGAACATCAAGAACATTTCAAGAGTAAGGAGAAAAAGTGTTTGCCCCATACATCTTTGCTCAACTCGAGAAAAGCATCCGCATCGACCTTGGCTATGGTGTATACTTACCTGCTAGCCTGAAAGCCTCAATAGGGCAGGAAAAGGGAAAGGGCACCAGGAAAAGGGTGGCTCCTTCTATTTTGCTGCCAGAAAGCTGGAAGGACTTCCTTCGATTCAATGAGAACAAAACCGAATTGTTTGACTTCATGTCATGCGAAGCCGTTTACCTTCCTCT